AAAAAAAAAAAAATTACCCAGGCATGGTAGTGCATGCTTATAGTCCTAGTTACTTGGGAAGCTGAGGTGGGAGGATTGCTTAAGCCCAAGATGTAGAGGCTATAGTGAGCTGTGATTGTGCCACTGCACTCCAGCCTGAGTGACAGAGTGAAACCCTATCTTAAAAAAAAATTTTTTTTTTAAAGATGTGTCAAGGCTGGGTGCAGTGGCTCATGCCTGTAATCCCAGCCCTGGAAGGCTGAGGAGGGCAGATCACTTGAGGTCAAGTTTTCAAGACTAGCCTAGCCAAAATGGTGAGACCTCATCTCTACTAAAAATACAAAAAAAATTAGCCAGGCATAGTAATGCATGCCTGTAGTCCCAGCTACTTGGGAGGCTGAGGGAGGAGAATCGCTTGAACCCAGGAGACGGAGGTTGCAGTGAGCTGAGATCATGCCACTACACTCCAGCCTGGGCAACAAGAGCGAAACTCCATCTCAAAAACTAGAAATAAAATAAAATAAATAAAGATGAGCCAGATACTTACATACTAAGGTAGGACCATTTTAAAGGTTAAAGTCAAAACTCACAGTATATAGGACAGTGTGTATGTAATTTCTGTTTTAGGAAAAAAAAAATGGAGGCTATACGCCATGGGTCAGCAAACCACAGACCAAATCCTGTCAGTGGTTCATTTCTGTTTTATGGCCTATAAGCCAAGAATGATTTTTATACTTTTATTTATTTATTTATTTTAATTTTTTTCTTTTGAGACAGAGCCTCACTCTGTCACCTAGGCTGGAGTACAGTGGTACAGCCTCAGCTCACTGCAACCTCTGCCTCCCAGGTTCAAGCAATTCTCCTCCCTCAACCTCCTAAGTAGCTAGGATTACCGGCATGCCACTACCATGCCTGGCTAATTTTTGTATTTTTAATAGAGATGGGGTTTCACCATGTTGGCCAGGCTGGTATAGACTTCCTGGCCTCAAGAGATCCTCCCGCCTTCGCCTCCCAGAGTGCTGGGATTATAGGCAGTGCCACCGCACGTGGCAGATTTTTACACATTTAGAGGGCTGTTTAGAGAAAGAAGGAGGCCCCTAAGTGCAGTGACCCATACTGGTAGTCCCAGCTACTAGGAAAGCTGAGGTGGAAGGATTGCTTGAGCCTAGGAATTCAAGGCCAGTCTGGGTAACATTACGAGACTCTGTCTCTTAAAAGAAATAAAAGAAGAAATAATTTGTAATAGAGACTTCTGTGCTCACAGGGTTTGAAATGTTTTATATCTGGGCATTTGCAGAAAAGGGCTGACCCCTGATAATACATGTTTATTTATGCATGTCTATACTTGAATGACTTTTGGGAGGATACACAAAAAAGTGTTATTGGTGTTGCCTATGGGATTGATGTTATTTTATTCTATACTCTTCATGCAGTGTGAATTATGTTCATCTAGCATATATATGGGGTTCCCCCAGTCCTGACAAAAAAATAGATACTACTAGTCAGAGGACACAACAATCAACTCTAAGGAGTTAGCACAAGTAGCCAGGCACGGTGGCTCACGGTGGCCTGTAATCCTAGCACTTTGGGAGTCCAAGGTGGGTGGATCACGTGAGGTCAGAGGTTTCAGACCAGCCTGGCCAACATGGCGAAACCCCACCTCTACTAAAAATGCAAAAATTAGCCAGGTGTGGCTGGCCACAGTGGCTCACACCTGCAATCCCAGCACTTTGGGAGGCTGAGGCGGGCAGATCACTTGAGGTCAGAGGTTTCAGACCAGCCTGGCCAACATGGCGAAACCCCACCTCTACTAAAAATGCAAAAATTAGCCAGGTGTGGCTGGCCACAGTGGCTCACACCTGCAATCCCAGCACTTTGGGAGGCTGAGGCAGGTAGATCATGAGATCAGGAGTTCAAGACCAGCCTTGCTAAGATAGTGGAACCCCGTCTCTACTAAAAATATAAAAATTAGCTGTGTATGGTGGCAGGCACCTGTAATTCCAACTACTTGGGAGGCTAAGGTAGAGAATTGCTTAAACCCAGGAGGCGGAAGTTGCAGTTAGCTAAGATCGCACCACCACATTCCAGCCTGGGTGACAGAGTGAGACCCTGTTTCAGAAAAAAAACTTAGCTGGACGTGGCGGCTCATGACTATAATCCCAGCTACTTGGGAGGCTGAGGCAGGAGAATTGCTTAAACCTGGGAGGTGGAGGTTGCAGTGAGCCAAGATCGTGCCACTGCATTCCAGCCTGGTTACAGAGCCAGACTCTGTCTCAAAAAAAAAAAAATTAGCCAGGCATGGCGGTGCATACCTATAATCCCAGCAACTTGGGAGGCTAAGCCAGGAGAATTATTTGAACTTGGGAGGCAGAGGTTGCAATGAGCTGAGATCATGCCATTGCACTCCAGCCTGGGCAACAACAGCAAAACTCTGTCTCAAGAAAGAAAAAAAGAAGAGTTGGCACAAGTAGCTTTCAGTCCTTGTTGACTAGAAAGGTTGTTGACCCAGGAATGTCAACATCCTGACCCTTGTTGACAGGATGGGCCATGTGAGTCAGTCTGTTGGTAATTCCATTTCATGCTTTATCCTTAGGTGTTTAGAGACCATCTTTGAGGAACCCAAGGAACGAAATGGTACGCTAATCTCAATCAGCCAACAGAAGAGGAAGCGAGTTCTAGAATTTCAGGATTTTACAGTCCCACGAAAGAGGAGAGCTCGAGGTAAAGTCAAGGTGGCAGGCAGCTTTACGAGGGCCCAGAAGGCAGCTGTGCAGAGTCAAGAGCTGGATGCTCTTTTGATACAGAAACTAATGGAACTGGAGACCTTCTTTGCCAAGGAAGAGGAGCAGGAACGATCATCAGGTTGTTGAGGGGCAATTCAGTTTCGAGGTCTCAATTATAGTTTGGTTTTTTTTTGGACCTCCTTGGAAGAGGTTGCCTAATTTTGCCCTACCGCCAAACCACTCAGAAATGCACAGTCCGTGAATTTTTACCTATTTCAAGGTGCAACCTTTTTAGAAACTGGTGAAGGAGGGTCCTCTACTTTTACTGCTGAGTATAGAACCTCAGGAATGCTCCCTTTCTCCTGGAAATGGACCTGAACGACATCCAGCCTCCTCCTCTCAGTCTCTGCCATCCATAGGAGGAAGCAGCAGCCTATCTTCAGTAACACTAGGATTCCAAGGACTCACAGGATTTGCACGTCCATATGAAAGTTCCACTTTGTTTATGGTGGTGCTAGACCAAGATTATTAGAAACGCGGCCTAGGGAGGGGGACCTGGCGTCCTGTCCTGCGTGGTCTAACTGGCTCATTTCAGTAGTTGAGGAAAGATGAGCTGTTGTGTTTTCTAATCTTTTGTCTGCCCAGAACCTGTTGATGTGAGTATATGTGAGAGAGAGAGAGAGAGAGTGTGTGTGTGTGTGTGTGTGTGTGTGGCTTTTTCCCATCGTTTTCTCCCCTCTGTGACTGTGGGTCACTAGTGCCAGAGGAGCCCGTCCAGGCCCCATTCGAAGTAAGTTGCACTTTTTAATGTTGTGGTGTGGATTATTTTCATTTGTTTTATTTTTTCTTTTCTTTTTTGTTTTTCTTTTCTGTTTTGTTTTTGTACTATTATTGCTGCATGTTTGGAGCCTTTAAATGTGATTTTAGAACAGTTTTTTAAGGAGAAAAACAATACATGTCTTAAGAATACATGATAGGCATTTGACCCAGTTGATCGGTGCATGGAAGAGACATTTTCCTATTCATGTGTTTCAGGCAATCCCTTCCCCATCTCCAGTTTCTAGTGTAGCTCATTAGAGGGAGCACTTTTTTGGGTTCTTATTCTTGCCCACCAAGTACATGTATTTATTTTCGTGATTTAAGTAAAAGCAGGTTTCTCTCCTGATCATTGAGAAAATACTAAGGTTGGGTGTGGTCTTAATGGTTTTTATCTGAAATGGCGTTAGGTAACAAAATTGAGTACAACGGCACGGGCTGTGATACAGGCTGACCCAGAGTGTTTGCGGCTCTCCAGGCAGCTTGCTTCAAGAGTGGAGAGAGCAGGTGAAGGAGTGGGACCCCGAGCACTGGGCCTTCTGCAACCTGGGGCCTTGGGTGAAGTGCCCATTGAGGGCTACCTCATTGTACCCTGGGTTCCTATGTCACATCTGCTGGAACTGTTGAATGCCAGAGTTAACCAAGTTTCTGAGTTTGTGACTGCAGGAGTCTGGGCAGAGAGATGCTGTGGATCAGCAGCCTCAAGTTCTTGTTTCTTTTCCATTGAAGTCCTGTGTGCCCATATCCTGCTCCCCTTCCCCTCCTCTAGGGGTTTCTGTTTCTCTCTCTCTCTCAAAACAAGAGTTTAGAGAATTAACATTCCTTGGCTGGTGAGTGGGACGCTAAAGTCAGCATCAGGACACCAGCATCACCTTTTCCATCCTCCTGGGAGCCACTGCCATGGAGCAGCCACCTCTGGGAAGTGTCAGAGTTTTAGAGACATTTCCAAGTCAGTCTGTTAGAGTGAGTGGCATAGCCTGGAATGTTGGCCAGCTCTCCTAGGTTTCTTTTACTTCCCCATTTGCTAGTGGATGGGGAGATGGGGTGGGGGTGGGGGGGTCTCTATGTGCCTTGCCTTTGCAGGTTGACAGTCTGTGCCACACTGGAGCAGAAAAACTGACATGAGCCAGAAAGAAAAGTGTGCCACGTCTGTCTTCTCGGCCCACTGCCTCGAACATAGCATTGAGACAAATACACATCCATGGAGGCTTCCAAGGCCATGGCCAAATACAATTAGAAGAGGGCCAGGTTTTCACACTGGCTCTGAATGATGCTAATCAGATTCTGTCATTCTACATCCACTTTGCCCAGACTGTGTAGACACGACCTGTGTTTCACCCAGTACCTCTCCCTTTCTGGGACAGGGTTCTTAGACACTAAATGTTTCTCTCTGACTTGTTTGCTTGAGGGAGTGGGATGAATAGTACATTGTGCCCTTGTCCCGGCATGTTTAGGGAGCTCCTGCTGGACAGGTTGCAGACTAGCAGTGAGTCAAAAGAGCCCTGTTTGCCAGCTCTGTTGCCATTGTAGATGCAGTGATGTGGCAGTTGTGTTTCCCAGAGACAACAGTGGAGGTTGGCACAGCTGTGGTATCATGGCAGAGATAGTTTCAGCTGTGCACATTACAGGCGTGGCACTCAAAGGGCCAGGAGCAGCAGTTTGGAACATGGGTGCCTGGGAACAGGGGACTGGATGAAACAGCTGAGCTAGCTGAGCCCCTTCCTTGTCCTGACAGTGTAGAAGAGAAGTTGCTCTGAGGCCAGCCCTGCCCTTTGTTGAAATTCTTGCCTACCCTCTGGCTAGGGCCCTTCCCCTGCTCCAAAGTTGAGAAGGGGGTCTCCCTACAGCAAACTTGAAATTACACCTGAAGGTGATGTATATACATAGGCTTCAGCTGCGCTCAGCCACACCTGTCTTAACTTTCAGTTTCACCACTGACCTAGCCAGCCACAGTGCCGTCGGGTCCTCCAGGCCCAAAGTCCCTAACCATGATGGGACATGGTTATCGGCTGCTGGCATACCACCTACCTGCCTAGAGCTACAGGAGGTCTGGTTCTGGGATGGAGTTGGTACAGATTCTGATTATGGGAACTTCCCTCCCCAAGTGGTGGGAAGTTACAGTTAATTACAACTTAGCTATCACTCACCTCTGGAGGATTAGTGTTTTTAATATGGGAAAGAGGAGAAATCTCAGGTCCAATCAGGGTTCTGCCCATCAGCTTTTCACTGAAACTTTGAACTGTTTTTTTTTTTTTTTTTTTCCATTTTTAAGTTTCTAGCTGTGTTTGCCTCCTCCCCCCACATTCCCTCCTCTTTTTTGCTTTTGGTCCCCTTTCCAGCTTCACGTCTCCATGAATTCGATGTACCTCATCGCCTGTTAAAGCAGATCATGTCCACTTTTCTTACTGACCTTACTCTAAGCTATGGCAGCGGAGGGAGGTACAGTGAAAAGACATGTAGCATTTGCCTTATTCGGAGCCTGAAGAGCCCAGAAACTCATGCTGTGAATCCCAAAACTCAGCGCTCCTCAAGAGCTGTGAAAATCATGATACTTTGTCACAATTTTGCCTGAAAGGGTCTTTGGCATGGGTGCCAGAGCCAACCTGAGGTCCATTCCAGATCCCACTCTCTGGGTGTGAGACCTCCTGAGTGGCTCCTTCCTCACCCACTGGGCCAAGAGCAGCAGGGATTGTGCAGGATGGCAGCAGCAGATCCAAGGCCGCAGTGCAGCCCATGGAATGCATGGCCGTCACTCTGTCTCCAGGCTGGGATTCCGTCTCATAATCAATGCCATGTACATTAAGATCCACGAAAGACCAACTTTTAGGCAGTGATGCTTGCCTCCCATTCCCTGGGGGTGGGGGGAGTATGCAGTTGGTTCTTTCCTTAATTCCCTTGTTCTGTTTTGTTTCTGTAAGCTTTTCCCCTGGTATCATGGAAAGGACCTCTTAAATAACCACATTGTGGGTGGCTGTATCCAAAGTTTAAATAATTGGCCAGAAGTACAGAATATCCTTTCCTGGATTCATGTCAGGAAAGGGCTCCTTGCCAGAACTGAACTTGTTATATAAAAACCTGGCTAGGGAGATTTAGTTTTACTAAAATTACAGTTTAATGCTACCATCTAGCTACAAATTGAGCAACAAAAGCTATTCAGATGATGAAGCGGGGTCCCCGTTGAGCAGGACATCTAGCACAGTGTGCTCTCAGATTTTATGCTTGTTGATTGTGTGTCTTCCCAAGCCCCTCTCTGGTGCTGAATTGGATTTGGATTCTTGGTGAGAAGTCTTAGCATCTCCTTGGGCTGGTCTGGGCCAGTAAAAATCGCTGCCTGACATGTTTCTATATTATCATGGTCAGTAGTTCAGTGAAATTTGTACATTTTTGGTAACATTGGCATACATGATGCCCCTGCAGTTTCTTTTCTGTTTGGTAGTTTGTGACTCTAAAATTTCCATTGTTATGTGTGTTAATTTATGAAAATAAATTTTTTTGAAAACCTTTCAAATTACTCTCAAGGCTTCTTACTTTGTTCTTGTGGCTTGGTGGTAAGTTAAAATAGACATTCCACCAGACACGGTGGCTCACACCTGTAATCACAGCACTTTGGGAGGCCGAGGTGGGCAGAACACGAGGTCAGCAGATCGAGACCATCCTGGCTAACATGGTGAAACCTCATCTCTACTAAAAATACAAAAAATTATCTGGGCGTGGTGGCACGCGACTGTAGTCTCAGCTACTAAGGAAGCTGAGGCAGGAGAATTGCTTGAACCCAGGAGGTGGAGATTGCAGTGAGCTGAGATCACACCACTGCACTCCAGCCTGGGCAACAGCAAGACTGTCTCAAAAAA